GATAGGCCTTTAAAAAATCCACGCCTATGATAGGCCTTTAAAAAATCCACGCCTATGATAGGCCTTTAAAAAATCCACGCCTATGATAGGCCTTTAAAAAATCCACGCCTATGATAGGCCTTTAAAAAATCCACGCCTATGATAGGCCTTTAAAAAATCCACGCCTATGATAGGCCTTTAAAAAATCCACGCCTATGATAGGCCTTTAAAAAATCCACGCCTATGATAGGCCTTTAAAAAATCCACGCCTATGATAGGCCTTTAAAAAATCCACGCCTATGATAGGCCTTTAAAAAATCCACGCCTATGATAGGCCTTTAAAAAATCCACGCCTATGATAGGCCTTTAAAAAATCCACGCCTATGATAGGCCTTTAAAAAATCCACGCCTATGATAGGCCTTTAAAAAATCCACGCCTATGATTGGCTTTTAATGAGCCAAATTTTCAAAACAATATTAATTGTACCCAAACAAAAACATGCTTATCTTTGCAGCAGCAACAACAACAACAACTGGTCAGCAGCGACAATATACCTTATCAGAAGCAATCCGGCAAGCAAAAGAAGTCATTCAAAAATAAAGAAAACGGTAAAATCGATATACAAACGATCATTTGAACCTCACGACCAAAAATTAATTGGCCAGCCATAACTTGGGTCCAATATAGATATTATATCTGATAAAATAAAATCAAGTATATAATATAACTCAAAGTTTGTTCTTCAGGTGTCTGAACAAAATTTTCTAAATTTGCGGCTGGCAGTTGGAGTCGTGCTCCAATAAACATCAACACACATTTAAGTGAGCCATACCGCGCTCGTAACATTCTACAAACTACAATTGCCATCATGAAAATAAGTTTAGGATCCGTTTTTGTCCTGCTAGTGGTGGTGTGTTCTGCCAAGGCGGTGCGTTTGGTGGGTGGCACCAATGAAACTGTCCAGTTCGGGCAGGAGCGCATTGTGGGAGGTCAGGTGGCCGAAGTGGGTTTTGCCAAATACCAAATATCTTTGCAAACCGTATTTGGTGGCCATATGTGCGGTGGTGCTATTATCGACAACCGTTGGGTTCTGACTGCCTGTCATTGTATGGATGGTGTTAACCCCGACATGTTGCGTGTCATAACTGGGACCAATGTTTACTTCGAACCTGGAGCCGTTTATGAAATTGAGGAATTTTATTGCCATTGTAATTATGATAATCCCACATACCACAACGATATCGCCCTGCTGTACCTGAAGGAACCCATTGTCTATGATGAGTTGACACAGCCAATTGCATTGCCTGTAAGCCCTTTGCAGGATGGTGATGAGTTGATACTTACCGGTTGGGGTGATAACATTCTATGGGGTGGCACTCCCGATAATCTCTACAAACTCTATACGAAATTTGTCACCTATGAGGAATGTCGTGAAATCTATGAGGGAGTTCCAATGTTGGATGTTGGTCATATCTGTACATTTACCAAGCTGGGTGAAGGTTCATGTCATGGTGATTCTGGCGGGCCTTTGGTCAGAAATGGTCATTTGGTGGGTTTGGTTAATTGGGGTTTTCCATGTGCTACTGGTAGCCCCGATGCTCACTGTAATGTCTACTTCTATTTGGATTGGATTCGTAAGGTAATGAGCAAGAGTTGTCGTGATTGTCATTGTAGTGGCAATGATTATTATTTTAGAAATAAGGAAATTGAAGCCTCTAAATATTAAGCGAATTTTAGATTTTGAAAATTTGAAATAAAAACCAAGAACAAATTTGAATTGTTGTTTTTTATTTTAAAATAATGTTCCAGAGGGCATGATAGGACCTTGATATTGAAAAGAAAAGGCCTCTATAAGGCGTGGATTTTTTAAGCATTCATTTTTCAAGGCCTATATAAGGCGTGGATTTTTAAAGGGAAGTTTTTTAAGGCTTATATAAGGCGTGGATTTTTAAAGGGACGTTTTTCAAGGCCTATATAAGGCGTGGATTTTTTAAAGATTCATTTTTCAAGGCCTATCCAAGGCGTGGATTTTTTAAAGATTCATTTTTCAAGGCCTATATAAGGCGTGGATTTTTTAAAGATTCATTTTTCAAGGCCTATATAAGGCGTGGATTTTTTGAAGATTAGTTTTTCAAGGCCTATATAAGGCGTGGATTTTTCAAAGATTCATTTTTCAAGGCCTATATAAGGCGTGGATTTTTCAAAGATTCATTTTTCAAGGCCTATATAAGGCGTGGATTTTTTAAAGATTCATTTTTCAAGGCCTATATAAGGCGTGGATTTTTTAAAGATTCATTTTTCAAGGCCTATATAAGGCGTGGATTTTTCAAAGATTCATTTTTCAAGGCCTATCTAAGGCGTGGATTTTTTAAAGATTCATTTTTCAAGGCCTATATAAGGCGTGGATTTTTTAAAGATTCATTTTTCAAGGCCTATATAAGGCGTGGATTTTTTAAAGATTCATTTTTCAAGGCCTATATAAGGCGTGGATTTTTTAAAGATTCATTTTTCAAGGCCTATATAAGGCGTGGATTTTTTAAAGATTCATTTTTCAATATAAGGCCTATATAAGGCGTACATTTTTTAAAGATTCATTTTTCAAGGCCTATATAAGGCGTGGATTTTTTAAAGATTCATTTTTCAAGGCCTATATAAGGCATAGAATCACTTTCTAAGTAGATTTATTTTTCAAGGCCTATATAAGTCTTCATGTTAAATTGTAAACAAAGTACAGGTCGCATTTATGATCCGAATTGGATGAAATATGGAACAGCCCATTCATTTGGCCCAAGGACGAACCCTATTGAAATTGGGAAAAATCGGTTCAGATTTCGATATTGCTCCCATATATATTTTCGTCCGATTTATGGTAAATGGTGCACCAAAGTCCCTAAATATCTTCCGATTTGCACGAAATTTGACACAGAGTACTGAATTAAGCCTAGAAAATACGTTTCGTGAAAATCGGTTCAGATTTAGACATAGAGCTCCGATATATATTTTCGTCCGATTTTAGGTAAATAGTGCACCAAAATCCCTATCCGCTCGATTTGCACGTAATTTGGCACAGCGCACTGAATTGAGCCTAGAAAGATGCGTGCTAAGTTTCGTGAAAATCGGTTCAAATTTAGATCTAGTTCCGTGGTTTTTTAAAAGAATATTTTATAATGCGTGGGTTTTTAAAGGAGTTTTTCGAGGTGTTTCATTTGAATAATGTTTTATTTATGCTTTATTTATTACGTATTATAAAGTAATTATAAGTTCAACACTTCTTATTCCCGCTCATTTTCGATCGTATCCAATTGAGGTAAAACAACGGACTAGCATGGGCATCGGGAAACCCTATAGCACATGGTTGGCCCCAATTAACCAAACCAACCAAATAGCCATCACTGACCAATGGACCACCCGAATCACCATGACACGAACCTTCACCCTCCTTCGTGAAGGTGCAAATATGACCAATATCCAGATCGGGATCATACAGCAAAGCCTCCTTACAGCGATCATGTTCCATATATTTCAAATTGACTTTCTTCAATAGGTCTGGTCGTTCACCCCATAACTCTTCGGCACCCCAACCCGTCAGCAAAACATCAGCACCATCTTCCATAGGTTTGGTGGGCAGAGCCACAGGTTGTGTCTTCTCATTCCACACAATACTCTCATTTAAATGCAACAATGCTATGTCATTGTGCATCTGCGGCCGATCATAATTACAATGAACATGCACCTCATCCACATGATAAATAACACCGGGTAGTTCGAGATCTTGTGTACCGGTCATAACCAAAATATCTTCCATCTCCTTTCGAGCAACACAATGTGCGGCAGTCAGGATCCATTGTTTGTCGATTATGGCTCCGCCACAATAATGACCCCAGAAATTTTGCAGCGACACCTGGTAGGGAGCAAGGCCTTCCTCAGCTGTTACGCCGCCAACAACGCGTCCTACTTTTCTTGTCGAATTATATGGATTTGTTTTGATACGCTTCGCGTCAATGGGGATTGATCCGACCGTTAAAAGTATAACCACTGGCAAAACGAACTTCATCTTTGGAAATTTCCGCAAGAATTGCCAAAGTGTTTTGAAAATTCGAAATATTCGAATTTATATCTCAAATTTTGTTCTTGTAGTTTATCGTATTCGAATTGATAAAAAACAAACGTATGGGTCAGTATGGATTGGTAGTAAATATTTATGACCATCGTAAAAAATGAAATACGCTATAGGAAGAAGACCACGGAATTAAAAAAAAATCCACGCATTGGATAACCCTTGAAAAAATATTTTTAAAAAATCCACGCCTTGGATAACCCTTGAAAAAATATTTTTAAAAAATCCACGCCTTGGATAACCCTTGAAAAAATATTTTTAAAAAATCCACGCCTTGGATAACCCTTGAAAAAATATTTTTAAAAAATCCACGCCTTGGATAACCCTTGAAAAAATATTTTTAAAAAATCCACGCCTTGGATAACCCTTGAAAAAATATTTTTAAAAAATCCACGCCTTGGATAACCCTTGAAAAAATATTTTTAAAAAATCCACGCCTTGGATAACCCTTGAAAAAAATATTTTTAAAAAATCCACGCCTTGGATAACCCTTGAAAAAATATTTTTAAAAAATCCACGCCTTGGATAACCCTTGAAAAAATATTTTTAAAAAATCCACGCCTTGGATAACCCTTGAAAAAATATTTTTAAAAAATCCACGCCTTGGATAACCCTTGAAAAAATATTTTTAAAAAATCCACGCCTTGGATATCCCTTGAAAAAATATTCTTGAAAAAAATCCACGCCTTGGATAACCCTTGAAAAAATATTTTTAAAAAATCCACGCCTTGGATAACCCATGAAAAAATATTGGTTGTGGACCCTTGAGAATTTTTTTCATAATTTTTTTATATATTTTTTTATTTTATTTACACAAAAAAATCACACTTATCCTTATTAACTAAATATTGTCTCCTCCTTCCCTTCAACACTTCCGATTACCGCTCATTTTCGATCGGATCCAATCGTGATAAAACAGCGGACTGGCATGCATATCAGGATAGCCAATGGCGCATGGCATACCCCAATTGACCACACCCACCAAATAACCACCACTGACCAATGGACCACCCGAATCGCCGTGACACGAACCCTCACCAACCTTCGTATAGGTACATATATGACCGAAATCTACATCGGGATCATCATTCATGGCCTCCTTACAACGACTGTGTTCCATGTACTTTAAATTGACTTTCTTCAAGAGATCCGGTGAATCACCCCAAAGCTCCTCCGAACCCCAACCGGTTAGCAACACATCAGCACCATCTTCCATGGGTTTAGTGGGCAATGGGACAGCCTGTGTCTTCTCATTGAAGACAATACTCGAATTTAAATGCAGCAGGGCAATATCATTGTGCATATTCGGCTTATCATGATTACAGTGGACATATTTTGCATCCGCATAATAGAGGGGACCAGGTTTCACCAGATTCTGACTTCCGGTCATCACGATGATATCTTCTACATATTTGTTAACAACACAATGGGCAGCTGTCAGCACCCAATCCTTATCGATAATGGCTCCGCCACAAAAGTGGCCCCATTCCGTTTGCAAGGATACCTGGTAGGGTGCCAAACCCTCTTCCGCAGTGCCACCGCCCACCACACGACCCACCTGGCTTCTCTTAGAAGCTCGAGTAAAGGGTTTAATACGTTTTGCCTCTACTCGCGAAAATGGTCCTGCAGCCAAAAACAACAACACCACAAATAAAACACCTCCTCCGACGATCTGCATCTTTGAAAATTTCCACTAGAATTGACTGAAGTTACGAAACTTTGCCAACATTTTATGTTATTGGAAATTGGAAATATTTGATTTTTTTATCTGATTTGATAAAAATCGAAAACTAGCAAAACAAACGGGGCTGACCAGCATTGATTGGTTGTCGGCTGGTCGGTCGGTTGGGGTTACAGTAAATAATATAAACAAATTTATTAGCTTTCCAATGGCAGAAGATTAGACAAGCGAAGCACTTGCAAGGGTTCGGAATTCAAAACAACAGATTTCTTATCAATTGTGAAGAATTCGTCCGCTGTTGTCTGCTTGACATTTTGCCAGAATTTTGTTATGATTTGTCTTTCGCAGAAGAAATTCCACGCGTATCTAATAATCAATTAACATTTTTTTTTGCGTTTTTAATAATTGCTATTAATTGTTTTTAAATAGAATTTAAAGAAGTATAAGATTGTCGATTTCCTGATAGTATGGTTGATCCATCGTACACAATTTGTTCGTGGAAAAGGGTGGGAGTCATATTTTTGAATGTTGGTTCCGATGACCGATTTTCAAACTATTCAAAACAAATAAGAACAGCCCTCCATCAGACAATAGTCACTAAGTAAAGTGCTGATCGGACTTATATGTGCGGATATATGGAACATGTGCTGCAAACGATGGGCCCAATAACTGGAAAATATACCAAACCTTAAAAAAAATTCAAAAATTTTAAAATTTTGACAGACGTTTTTTTATCCTGTGAGCGACTGAAATACTTTGATTGAAAATGCATCTATGACCGTTAAAATATATTTTCTAGTCGAAAATAAAAAAATAGCTAAAATTAGGCGGGACCATATACTTGAGAGGTATGTGCTACAAAAAATATCCCCGGCAGATTCTTTGGAGAACCCGAAAAATCAAATAAGTGCAAATTTTGAAAATTAAGCTTCAAATACCAAATTTCGATCGGGACCCTTATGCCGTACTGTTTGAAAAAAATGGACTACAATTGTCAAATTTTACAGTTACTTTGGTTTGAACATAAGGCTAAGCACTTCAAAATATACAAAATCAGTCGGGACGCCTATGTACTAGACACATGGTTCCTTTTGAGAATGTGCATAGAATCACTTTCTAAGTCGTCTGTCTGTCCATGTTAAATTGTTAACAAAGTACATTTATGATCCGATTTGTATGAAATGTGGCACAAGGACGAATCCTTGGGCCTATTGAAATTGGAAAAAAATCGGTTCAGATTTAGATATAGCTTCCATATATAGTTTCGTCCGATTTTAAGAAAATTGTGCACCAAACTCCCAAAATTGCTTTCGTTAAAATCGGTTCAGATTTAGATATAGCTCCCATATATAATTTCGCCCGATTTTCAGTTGATGGTCCACCACAGCTCCAAAATGTGGCCGATTGGCTCAAAATTTTGCACAACGTACTGTAGATAGTATAACCTACAGTGTGTAAAGTTTCGTTGAAATCGGTTCAGATTTAGATATAGCGCGCATATATAGTTTCGTCCGATTTGATGTAAATGGTGTACCAAAGTCATTATATATCTTTCGATTTTCAAGAAATTTGGCAGAGGGTACTGAATTGAGTCTAAAATGATATGTGTAAAGTTTTCTGAAAATCGGTTCACATTTAATGTAAATGGTTCACCAAAGTTCCTATAAATCTTTCGATTTGCACGACATTTAGCAAAGCGTACTGAATTAAGTCAAGAATGGTGTGCGTTAAGTTTCGTGAAAATCGGTTCAGATGCAGACATAGCTTCCATTCATATTTCGAACGGGTGCCTGATTGAGATTAAATTTTGAAAAGTGCGCATTCATTGTGCTATAAATCGATTTACATGAATTTCTCCTATTGTACGCAAACGACTCTGTCGAAATTAGCATATGTTTCATGAAATTTAGCATATGTTTCAGATATGCCGATGTGATCTTTGATTATTGAATTTGGATATAATTTAATAATTTTCTGCAGGAAGAACTGAAAATGCAAATTACAGCTCGATTTAAAATTCAGGTGGAACACTAAAAAATGAGGCAGGAATTTTATATGGAGTTTATGACAATATGGACCTATATACACATGATAACTTTCGAAGGGAGTAACGACAAATCGTGATATATGTAACAAACCTTGATCCAACATAAAGATGGAACCCATTCGTACAATCCTACCGGGACCTTTCGCACAATAGGTTGCAAATCTCATATGAAACTCATGCAGTACTCCGACATATCTACAAAACGATTATGTAAACTATGATACAAATTTCAGAAATTTTTATTGGATAATTATACCCGCAGCCATATGGCTAATGAGGGTGTATACACTTAGACACGGTGAAAACGAGCCTCATCGAAATATTGGTTCTAGAGCCTATGTTTCTTTGGACGACATTTGTTTCAGAAAATTTTGATTTTATCCAAACTTTGCCCATCATATTATTTCTTCCAGACATTGTTCAAGTTCGAAGATGGGGAATATCGGTCGACTTCATCTTGTACCTCCTACAGAGGGGCTAGGCCTAAATGCGGGTTATAGTTCATTATCGAAGCTTACGTTCTAGTTTTTTATCTCGATATCCTCCGCAGGTGAAACGATTGCAACAGAGTTTTAGAACCAAACCCAAAACCCGGAACAAATTAGATAACTATTTTAATATATAATATAATAATATTTCAGTACCCTATCTCAATTCCTTAGAAGATAGCGTGATTACAACAGAGGGACAGAACGACGGACATGGATAGATCGTCTTAGAATTTTACCCTGATCAAGAATATATATATATATATACTTATAGGGTCGGAAATTAATATTTCGATGAATTACAAACGGAATGATATGAATTGTGGAGGGTATGAAAAGGGGGTTATATGAGGACTACCCCTAAAAGGGGGCGAATATTAATAACTTTTGGTAGGGAAATTTGTTAATATATACGACTACAAAATACCAAAGTACAGCGGTTGAAATTCGGTTGAAATCCGCGCTCAAGAACCCCAAAATACCGAAAATTGGAGGGTACCCTTATATGGGGGTCTACCCGAAAAAAATAACCTATATATATATATACAATTTTTTTTTTGTGGAGAGATTTGGCACCTATTAAGAACTCAAAATACAAAATTACAGCCAAATCGGTGAAAAAATCCTGTCAAAACCCCAAAAAAACTGAAAATTGGGAGGTACTCTTATATGCGGCTACCAGAAAAAGTGAACCTATATTTATAATTTTTAGTGGGGAAAT